AAGCTTGGCAACTTGGTTTTTCATTAACCGAATTTGGTTGAATTTGTTAAGCTGTAGTTATTTTTAAAATTACGTGCAATTGTTAATCTCGATTTTTCCGCAGTTTTATTATTTTTTTAAAGTGCAAAATATTAATGTGGAATATGTGCTGCCGAACATAGATACAGTGTTGCCAAAAGTTAAATGAGCGTATTAGTTATCAACCTTGACGGGTCGCAGAACAGTTCCCGGCGGGACGCATACGGCCCGCAAGCCACGTGTTTCACATGCCTGTCTTAAATGAAGGATATATTACGATCACCGTACTCGTCAGTGAAACTCGATATGTATTGTGTCGCGACATCAGACCGTAATCGCGATAGTGATTTGCTCGCAATAATGATTAGATCGCGAAGGTAACGAGACTGGGGGTCACTATTAAGTCAGGACGAGTGAATCCCAAGGCAACGGTCTGACCTCGAATTGGGTTGTTCGCAGGTCGGGCTTGCGGTCTCTTCCCCACAACGCCAAGATGCACTACAACTTCGCCAACTTCCTACGAGACACGTCGCAACCGAACCGTGCGATCCTACATTACCAGCTAGCCCTTTGGTAAGTACTTGAGCAATTTCCCTAACATCTTAAACCTTCTTAAGAGAATAGATTCTGGAAGTTAGCCTTCAACTTCTTGCGTCATCAGACTAGGTTCTACGAGAGACATTTAATTATAGAAATAGAAAGTTGTCTCATCGACTGTGAATGTGGGTAGGAATTGTATTTTATTCTATTAATGTAATATTATCTATTTTAATTCTGAGCAATCAAGCTCTTGAGGTACTGCGACTACTGCGCACTCTTATTACAAAAATCGATACGTATTTCAATTCTGGTTTGCGAAAATCTATCCTTACATTGACACATTTTCTATTCAGTATTAAAAATCGAATGAATGGAATGATCCATTCTTTAACATCGGATTATGACAATACGAATTGTGAAAATACGATTCACCTTACGCAACGTCTTGCTCTGAACAATCTTGTTCTTGATTCACTCCGCACTCCACTTTGAAATGCCCTTGAACAAAGTCTGGCCCAACCAAGCAGGGTTTTTACATGCGAAAGACGAGCGGACTCGCAGTTGAAGCGAGAGTATGTACATACGTATATGTATACACGAGTTTCATGTCCAAAGTTGGTCACAAAGAAAGACGAAGCGAGTTTACATCCACGAGATCGTTTCCTTTTTTACTCCTCTTTCTTTTACTCTACTCACGTCCTCTTTTAGCGAGGGGCGACTGCGCTTATCAAAGCGGTAAGAGGTTTACTGACAGCGACTGGTATTCCGATAATGAAAATTCCACTTCCTCGTTCGCGCGAATCCTTTTGAAGCCGCCCGGACTGCCTCAATGAGCCGATCCCGCGTTTCTTCCTGTTGAAAACCAGGCCGCTACGCTTCTTTTCTATCCTGGCTGTTGTGACCAGCTGAATTTCTCTTGTCTCCAAAGGAATAATTCCGCTCCTTTATTATTATTATCATACTTACTTCTCTGAGAATTTATTTCTCTGTCATATAAAATGTCGTAAAATTCATCTAATATTCCAGTTTAATAACATATCAAAAGATATAAATTTATAACATCAACTGATGTCAGTTAACATTAACTTTCTTCAATTGTATGATGCATATTTAGTAAAAATTTTTATTATTAACTGTCTCAAACTTCTAGAATGTCGTACATATACTTTTTGATCAAACAATTAATTAATTATACAAGAGACCTATCAGCTTGACGTCTAAATATCCTTTCTTACCTGTTCCACTGTCAGTGTTTCAGTAGTTATTTGCTTATAAGTAAACACGACACTAAAACCGTCAATTATTTAGCGTTTATGATTAATTATTGCTTGCTAATTACAAGGTATAACGTGTACGTTAATATCGTGGCTCGTTAACGACTCATCAAGGAGTCACGCGCGTATACAAACGATTGAAAATGGTCGTTCAGTTTCACTTTGTCACTGCACGTCTGTTTTAATAAAATCCGTTGAACACCGGAAATAATAACGGTATATATCTATTCTTCGTTCATTAAACATCGCATATTGATTAGAATGGTTATTAAACCGATCTCCCACTTGCCCGCTAATTGCATTCTTTATTAATGAATCGCTCGAATAATATACAATTGAATATTTCATATCGCTGACAAATTAAACAAATGCATGCATGCAAATGATATGATCATTTCTTTAAATGACAGAGGACAGATATTATTTGAAGAATGTATTTTCCTATCAGCTAAAAGAAATAACATTCTTATATTGTTTATGAGATAATATAAACTAACATAACTTTAACGTAATGAGTTGAGAACTGTTTTGATGATTTTACAATTTGTCCGATAGACTATTTAGATAAATAAATCTATCCGTAATCTGAACTTAGTGAATCGAGAACTGTTTTAAAATTGCATTAATCGATCCTAAATATCTAAACGTGGATCGAGCTAAATCTAGACTTGATAGAATTGGAAAATATCTAAAAACTGAATCACAGTGATTTAATTTATCGGGTAAATATGGATCGATCTCGTTTCGATTCAGGACTTCCGACTCGGTTTTTACGTCGAACGGTAAGTACCCACGTGTACGAGAAAGCGCAACGAGTCGTGAATTTGTGAAACTGCTCCCCCGTTACGTGTTCCTCCGCGGTTCACGACCAGTAAGCAAAATTAATCCGTTCGCTGGCGTACACCGTTTACGGCGGCGCACTAAAATGCAGAATCCAATTAAATAATTCAAGCATGACGGCGCGATGAAGGGTCGTCGTAGTTGGTCGGTTTTTCAGCGTGCATTCACGCGTGCTGGACTCGACCGTGCACACTAAGGACGTTAAAGGCCGCGGAAAGAATTCGTATTTGATAGTCGTGCTCAAGCCTCGTTCGCCGTACGTTGATCGGTTTCCATTCCCATGCAAGTTGAGAATACGATTCAATGTACTTTCATAAAATCCTTAGTACTAATTGGAGAAAAATCAAATAATTGATACTGGCTCCTTTAAAACAGAGAGTATTGATGAACAATGTTTACTAATTAATAGACTGCAGAATAAAATATTTACGATAATCAGAAAATAGATATTTATTTATTTATTTATTTATTTATTATGCATATTTAGTAAAAATTTTTATTATTAACTGTCTCAAACTTCTAGAATGTCGTACATATACTTTTTGATCAAACAATTAATTAATTATACAAGAGACCTATCAGCTTGACGTCTAAATATCCTTTCTTACCTGTTCCACTGTCAGTGTTTCAGTAGTTATTTGCTTATAAGTAAACACGACACTAAAACCGTCAATTATTTAGCGTTTATGATTAATTATTGCTTGCTAATTACAAGGTATAACGTGTACGTTAATATCGTGGCTCGTTAACGACTCATCAAGGAGTCACGCGCGTATACAAACGATTGAAAATGGTCGTTCAGTTTCACTTTGTCACTGCACGTCTGTTTTAATAAAATCCGTTGAACACCGGAAATAATAACGGTATATATCTATTCTTCGTTCATTAAACATCGCATATTGATTAGAATGGTTATTAAACCGATCTCCCACTTGCCCGCTAATTGCATTCTTTATTAATGAATCGCTCGAATAATATACAATTGAATATTTCATATCGCTGACAAATTAAACAAATGCATGCATGCAAATGATATGATCATTTCTTTAAATGACAGAGGACAGATATTATTTGAAGAATGTATTTTCCTATCAGCTAAAAGAAATAACATTCTTATATTGTTTATGAGATAATATAAACTAACATAACTTTAACGTAATGAGTTGAGAACTGTTTTGATGATTTTACAATTTGTCCGATAGACTATTTAGATAAATAAATCTATCCGTAATCTGAACTTAGTGAATCGAGAACTGTTTTAAAATTGCATTAATCGATCCTAAATATCTAAACGTGGATCGAGCTAAATCTAGACTTGATAGAATTGGAAAATATCTAAAAACTGAATCACAGTGATTTAATTTATCGGGTAAATATGGATCGATCTCGTTTCGATTCAGGACTTCCGACTCGGTTTTTACGTCGAACGGTAAGTACCCACGTGTACGAGAAAGCGCAACGAGTCGTGAATTTGTGAAACTGCTCCCCCGTTACGTGTTCCTCCGCGGTTCACGACCAGTAAGCAAAATTAATCCGTTCGCTGGCGTACACCGTTTACGGCGGCGCACTAAAATGCAGAATCCAATTAAATAATTCAAGCATGACGGCGCGATGAAGGGTCGTCGTAGTTGGTCGGTTTTTCAGCGTGCATTCACGCGTGCTGGACTCGACCGTGCACACTAAGGACGTTAAAGGCCGCGGAAAGAATTCGTATTTGATAGTCGTGCTCAAGCCTCGTTCGCCGTACGTTGATCGGTTTCCATTCCCATGCAAGTTGAGAATACGATTCAATGTACTTTCATAAAATCCTTAGTACTAATTGGAGAAAAATCAAATAATTGATACTGGCTCCTTTAAAACAGAGAGTATTGATGAACAATGTTTACTAATTAATAGACTGCAGAATAAAATATTTACGATAATCAGAAAATAGATATTTATTTATTTATTTATTTATTTATATCTATCACACGGGTTACATGAACCCATTTTACATTATATATTAATAACAGGCACGAGCAGTATACAATCAATCATAGTACACATGGTCATATGCTGCATATAAAGAAAAAAATTAGAAAGATATTCTTTTCTTCCACCTTTACTCGGCAAAAATCTCTCATTTTTAAACAGTGCATAAAATCCCTAGTTCAGATACAGTATAAGGAATAACAGTAGGCTCACTCTCGATATCGGCTCCTATGATCTCAAGACCAACAGATTCGCTATGTTGTTAATTCAGAGATGATGAGAGAGACTGTCTATGAGGCCCGTTATAAGGATCATTCCCCAGACACAACGTACGACACGAGGAAAAGAAAGGCCGAAGTGAAAATTGCGAGGTATAGGGAAAAGCATGTAAAAGCTTGCCGCAAAGGGGCCAATTGACTTTTGCAGAGCGAGTAATCAACTGTGCAGGCTCCAAGCAGGAACTGCCGTACGACACGTTCGACATTCGACATCCGCTATTATCACCTCCCCTCAAAATATGAGTATTCTTCGGTCGTTAGAGGCGGTAGCTTATGACAGTCAAAAATCGGTTAGATCGGGCTCGTAGGCAATCATCATCTCTGATTAATCGTGCGCGGGCGTCTAATTTGACCCACAATCTTATAGATAGACTATAAGATCGTTGGTCAAACAGACTCATTTGTTATTAGTAATTAGACTACGATCGATAGGATTAAAAAACCATATAACCAAATAACTAACTATTTCTTTCACTTATACTGATTTTCTTTAATTATAAATATTTTTAAATATAGGCGGAGTCACGGACGGCTGTATTGTTGGTTGTGCGATTTCGCCTTACGCAAGAGTCAATTATTAGTACACCATTCGACAGAATAAACTTACTGTTCTTTCTTATACTGCGGTTCAGTGATAAATAATAACAAATTTGATCTAATCTTAAAAATT